TGATTTTTAGTAATATTTGGAAATTTATTAATTTTAAAAGTTCTCTTGAAATAGCTACTTTTTGTAGAATTTAATACTTTACTGCAGTGAACTCCTTCACGTAGGTAAAGTGCCAAGGCATAGAAATAATTTTGGGGGAAATCAGTACTCCAGTTTGCTTCCTAAAATCCAGCCCTGGTGTTTTGCTGCAGCCTCAGTTTGTGCTTGTTTTCATAATCCTTACATCAAAAAGCACTGCTACTGTGATTAATTCATCATCCTTTTAGGGACTGGAATTTTATTTGTAAATATCACTCTTTTGGAGGGAAGCAATATTAAATTCTTTAAATAAGGATGCATAAAAATTATTATGAAAGCTTTCTTCTGTAAAATACTGGCATCTAGTTTTCTCGGACTAGTTCTTTAAAATCCATTCTGTTTATAGATTTGCAAACTATTAATATTAAAGAGCTATTCCATGATTACGAAATCCATTTGCAGCAGAATATTTCTCTTTGGGGGGCAAAAAGAGGTCATTTCACAATCTAGAAAATTGCAGTACATTGTTCTGTCCTATATTCTTAATCTCCAGTTATATAAACAGTTTTATTTATTCTCCAATTCATTTTACATCTGGATCTCTGATTAAGATTGATCCTCAACTACCTTCCCCTTGGTCTCTGCTTTGCGCTAATATCTAGCAATCATTTTGTCAAAATGACATTCTTCCTAGCCATCTAGACTGTTGAATTCGCTTTAGCTGATAGGAACAGCTGTCATTTCAAGCTAATGAAAAACTGTCAGTTGGGCATTGAATTAGCATTATTGTATTTCAGAAAATGTGTTCATGGTATGTCAAGTTTGTTCATTTCACAAGTAGCAAGCTTACATGCCTAAATACAAGGTGTACCCAGGCAGAGAGGTGCTTAGACTCTATCTTTTGCAGGAATAGTTCAGGATTTGTTCCACTGTATACAATCCCTTCATTTTACAGACTAGGAAAGTCAGACTTCAGAGAAGAGTTGGAAGGAGAGTGGAACCTCAGTCTTCAAAACGCGTTGTTCTCTCTCTTCTCTAGTAATTCTTAAGCCTTTTTCCTTTGTTCACTTTCAGTGGGGTTTTTTGGTTGGTTGGTTGGTTGGTTGGTTGTTGGTTTGTTTTGGGGTTTTTTTTGTGGGTTTGTTTTGTTGGTTGGTTGCTTGGTTTGGTTTTGTTGGGCTTTTTTTGTTACATTTACGTCATTCTTCCCAATCCTTTTTTTTTTTTTTAATGTATCCCCATACTATAATAAATAATATTAGCATAGGGGGAAAAAATTGGAAAAAAATAATTTAAATTCATGTGTTATAAAGCCCCAAGTGAGAGTACGAGAAATAGATTATTTCTCAGAAGCTAAGGAGAGAAAGTGTTGCCAGTATGGATCAAACACAGCACAGTTCAATTTACTTCTTATGGCTAATATAGAGCTTGGTATGTAGCTCAGCTAATGTTCCAAAAATGTATGCAAAAGAGATCTTTATAGTTTGCTCTGCTTTTATTCTGTATGTTCTGATTTTATTAATAAAATATGGTAGGTTAACTGTTGGATGTATAGTTTCAAACAGGAAGGAGCCTTTTCTCATATGTCTGAATGAGGCCATGCTACCTGATACAGTTATGCAAGCTGTAGTTTGCTTATACACCTGTCTTTCTCATGTACTTTTCATGATGAAGTTTGAGACTCATTGTAAAGCTGAGGTACATCTGCGTTATCCCTCTTGGTGTCATACTTGTATAAAAGACACAGCATCTTACATGAAATAGGAAACATATTTCATTTTTTGCTGACCTTGATTCTTTTCACGCACTCTAAAAGAAGAAAGGTTTTCCTACTTTTTCTGGTATTTCCTAAGCACAGGGGAAAAATAGGGTGTTTTTTCTCTTTCTGCATGTACAGTAACTTTTTCCTCCTGTTCATATCCGTGATCTTAACCTTTTAGATACCTGAAGAGTGTACAAGTGTTGCACAAAAGATTAATGTGTGTTTGGCGTTAACTGATGTAACAATTACCTTCATTGTACTTGGCAGTGAGATGGATTTATCACATGGTTAAAACACAGGGATTTCTTCACTTTTGTCATGTGACCTGAAGTCTGGATTCACACATTTACATATGACCAACCAGTATTCCTTTTACATAAGAGTAGATCTGAAGCAAGTTCACTTTTCATCAGAGTTACACTAATTTTACCCCAACATGAAAGAAATAAAAATATAGTCAATAGTAATTGGACATCTTGCTTTTAATTAGTTATTTTTCAGTACTTTCAAGTTGTAACTCTGGAAAGCACTGTGAGAAGTAAGTTTTCTCAGACTACGCTAGTTTGTCAAACATCTTCTTATTAAGTTAATCTGTGCTGGGAGAGAACAGAGAAGTCAGAGTCTTTTACAGGAGGGGATGAAGTTACACTCTAATTACTGAGGATTTGGCCATGCCATTAATGTGTCATGTTTTCAGTTTTTCTGAGTGCATTTCCAGCTTCCCTATCAGCGTTTCTCACTGTCCTCATATTGCTTTTACTTCCCTCAGCTTTTTCACTTCTGAAAGGTGATAAACCTTAAAATATTAATATAGGAGAACAATTGTGCATATATATATAGTTGTAAGTACATCTTTTTTTTTTCTGAAGCATTACTCATGTACTGTATTGTTTCAGATTTCTGCATCTCTCAAGTTTTTATGATACTTTAGTAACATGCAGAAGAAACTTACAACCACATTCTAATGTTTGCATATTCACTGCCTTGTGCAAGTGTGGCCAGTAATTTAAGGGAATCAGCATTTCCTTAGGCAACACTACAATTTCTTCAGTTAATGCTAGTCTAGCTGGTTTTTACTTTATTTCTTTTCCCCATTCTCTAGATTTTGTTTGAACTACATTTTTGAAGTGTTTTAATGAGAACACACCTGAGGTTTTTTATTTGGTAGGCTTCTTTTGTTTGCTTGGGTTTTCTTCTGGTTGGTTGGGTTTTTGGTTTGGTTTGGTTTGGCTTTTTCAATACTCGTATGTATTTCAGTCTTTCTTCCACTAAGCTGATCGGTGAGTTTATGTATATATCTGTGTAAAAAAGCATTTAAAAAGGAGCTGTGTATTTGCATGAACTCAGTGTCTAGACATTATATATATTAGATTTGAGTTGTATTTTCTTTCTGGAATTTCTGTTTAGTTGGTTCTGAATGTATATGTATAAAAAACATTCTTAAGCTCCACTTACCTGAAAATGACTGCTTGCAGACGAGTACAAATGCACAGTGAGATGGAAGCATATCAGTGAGGTCTCTGAAACATTTCTTTTGATGCCAAAATCATCTTTACCTGTTACTAGTCTTTCAGGCCTGATGGTCCCACAGTAGAGTGAGCTGATTTCTGGTCCTTTTACCAAATGATAGGTGAAATTTTTCACTAAGTTCCAGATGCTAGATGCTACTCTAATTTCTGCTTATGCAAAGCCATGGAGGCAGTTTGCTTTCAGAGGGTGGACATGAATGCAGAACCTGCAGAGTATTTCACATTCGGAATGATATGGGAACCTGCATGAGCTTGACAGGGCTAGCCCTTGCAAAAAGCATTACTGGAGTCACAAACTGAGTGCCAGAAGCCATTGAAACTATGTAAGCGCTGAATTGTATAACAAAATTTCGCAGGTTTTATTAGAGATATGAAAAGCAATAAACAATAAAGAACAAAGTTCTCCAGTAACCTGTGAAAAACAATTGGATGGGAGTTTATAGTAAATACTTTGGATTATTAACCATGCAGTAAAAATAAATTAAAATTATTCTTACCAGTGTTCCTGGCATAGGCAGACAAGAGGGTGTTAACAAAAAACAAGGGCTAGCAAATTTAGAACAAATTGAAGTAATCACTATTCCAGCATTATGTTTTATTGAATTCGTTGGTTTTTGTCATTACATAAAATGTTTTTATTTATAATATTTGAGATAATTTTAAGATCATCAATAGCATTTTCATTTTTGTTACCATGATGAAAGTTTTAAAGGATAGTTCCAATATGTGGTATAAAAAAGTTGTCCATAGAAGTTACTGAAGTAATGACTCTGTCTACTGTTCTTGGTAATGTCTTTTGGTGGCAAGATACTGTTCATCTTGTATTGTCTTTTTTAGCATGTTGGAGCTTATTTTCCAGGCTGAGTTACCCTAGTTTATCTCCCTTCATCTCTTTTTCCTATCAGCTCCTTACTTTTGTCACTTGGCCAAAGGGAAAAAAAGAAAAAAATCAGTGTGTCTTGATACCAATGAAGGTGTTGACATGAAATTTTGATTTATGACATGGGGGAATACAATCTACTATGTCAACATTATATTCAATACACAACCAATGAAAACTGGACTAAAAAATAAAAAGGGGTTTAAGAGGAGCCTTCAGCTGTGGTATTCTACAAAGGCTTGAGATAAAGGCAATGTCTCTAACTTAGAGGAGATCTATCCACCATAACAGGCTATCTGAAGATGTTATAGAAACTATTTCCTGAACATGTTAGATTAGCCATCTCCCAAAGACTGTCTACATATATATTTAGTCCAGCTTCAAAGTAGGGGGCTAAGTTAAATGATACATGGAAGTCCTCTTTAGCCCTACATTTTTCTTCTCTTTATTTTTGAGTCTTCTTGTTATTTTTTGCAGAATCATATATAGGTTTGTCATTGTACCTATTTTAGAAGGGGTAGGTTAATTTTCAAGTATGGAATTTAAAATTTTAAATAGCTATCTATCAGTTTTATCGCTATAGGACTGGAACACTTCACATTTATGCAAAAAGGCAAAAGTGCTGTGTATTAATTATCATATTGCTAAGTTACCTTGTAATTCATAAATGCTTGTTGTTTCACTGTGCATACTGCAAGGTATAAAATGTAGTCAGTAAATCACAAATAACTTTTTAGTCGTTGAGTTTACTTGCAGAAGTGAATACAGTTGGAGTAGTACAGTAAATACTCCGTTTATTTTGCTTCTACAGAAATGTATCTTCTGCAGACAGAGAGTTAAGAAAATCTCTGGTGCCTGCATTCAGTGTTCATATGGACGCTGCCCAGCATCCTTCCATGTTACCTGTGCCCATGCTGCAGGAGTGCTGATGCGACCCGATGACTGGCCATTTGTTGTCTACATGACGTGTTTCAGGCACAAAAGCAACCACAATGTGGTAAGGAATGTGTTTTGTTACTTGTTAAAAAGTGGAATTTCAAATATAAAGTATATTTCCAGAGAAAACGGAAGAAAGGATCCACACTATGTATTATAATAGTTCTGGCTGTCATATTTCCATGCATAGCAATTTATTACATCTTGAGAATTTTTTCTTACCCTGTTACCTGGGAGAAATGATACCTGGTATGCCTAACAGGTTTTTGCATTAAAGTCCTTGTTGAATATATTATTTTGACAGCCAGAACACATCCCCGAGTTCTCTTGTTTTGTTAACATGAAGTGTATTATAAATACCAAGATCATAATATCTTGCAAATACGCACAGATCCTGTGAGATAATGGATATGGTGTATATGTAAGATCTTTGTTCTGCAGCCAAACAATCTTTTGAAAATACCCAATTACAAGTATTCTATCATCTGGCAAAGTAACACTGGCATGCCATGAAAATTCATGTTATGACAGCCTTTTTATTTCTATCCTGTGCTGGGGAGGAACTTTTAATTTTAGATGAGACACATGAAGAATTAGTTTAATGTCTTTTATTTAAATACATGGTTACTATCTCAGTTAAGAGAGAACTCTTTTTTGTTCGTTTGTTTTCTAGCAAACTAGAAGGTCTTAACACGATCTTATTAAGGAAGGAGCTTGATAAGTTAGTTAAATTGCAATTTTATTTCTCCTTTATCCCTTAGAAGTGACAGACATAAACCCAGGTAATGTCTCTATAATATCTGTTAGTCTTTCTAGTGCTTGTTCGTGAATCTTGTCTTAATGACAAGACTACTGAAGAGTAAGATTGCATTTTGAGTGTAGTAAAATGTAAAGCCTCCCAACTAGAGTAATCTGTCCTGAATGTTCAATCTGCAGGTGGTTCTTCAAAGGGAGATATATTATATATGCCTATTTTAAATTTCCATCGAACTGTTAAATTTTTTGAATATTTTTGTTTTCCAGAATGAATGACCATGTTAAACCAGTACATTTTATATAGTTTTAGTTTCTTCAAACATTTTTTAAGAAAATGAGTTTAGTTTGAAAAACAAACAAACAAACTTAAACCTCTATCTGTACAGGCAACATAAGATATTTCCTTGGGGTTTTTTTAAACATTATTATTAGTTCAAAATTACTGGATTAAAATCATGGCCAGTAAAAATAGATCTGTTCTTCCCAAATGTGTTCTAATATTTGTTTGGGACAAATCTTTATATTCTAGATGGTGGGAGTTGCATCAGTCCCATTAATTACATGTTTTCTTAGTGATTTTCTTGACCTGTATTAAGTAGTGTCAAAGGAAAAAACCACCAACTATGAGGAAAGAGGATTTTATATGGCTGCTGTTTAAGAGCTTGTGTGAAGGACATTCATAGTAGCTTGGAATGAGACTAATATATTCTCTCTAAAACTCGGCACCAACCTTTTTGAAAAAAAATCAGTATTATTACCTTTTTTCCCCAGGTTCAAATAAAAATCAGGTTTGCAGAAGAGAAAGAAAAATTATGCTTTTGTGTTTTCAGTTGGGCCAAAACTTCTAAAGGTCAAATAGTTTATTAAAGAATCTTTTTCTGTAAAATTCTTAAATTACTCCTGAGACAGAGGAGGTTGCCATATGTTATTATATGCTTGGTTTTATACTCTGTCTTTTGAATAATTAATCTAATCACATTTTTAAGCCTTTGGAAGTTTTTTCACCATTGATTTTCTTGTTATGTTTTACTTAGCTATTAGCTATTCCTTCAAGCAGAAATTACATTGCTCTTCACCATTAGGTATAGCGATGTATCTTCTAATGAACTTTTTTTTTGCTGTTTTTTAGCTTCCTTGCTTAAAAGCATGGATTTGTTTTGATCAAAAGAACTCTTTCATACACAAGAAAATGAGAAAAAGAAGTATGCAACTATTCTAGCAGGGAAAAAAAACAACCCAAAAAATACCCCAAAGCCACCCAAAAAAGCCCCCCAAAGGATTCATAATATCAGCAAAGACAGCACTGAGGATCAGCGAAAGCTAACTGGAGACAAAGGCGTACTGAGAGCTGATGTTTCATTTGGAAATGTTGAACAGAAGAGGCTATCTAGACAGCCTCAGTTACACTGAAAGACTAACAATCTTTAGAAAGGCAAAGACAGGAGGTGCCAAAACCCTTCTGTGGCTGCTTTTGGAGCTATTTAAAATTATCTTCTACTATTACTGGCCAGCTCTTAATCTCTCTAGCACACATGGAATGAAGGGGTGCTGTCAAAGGGAAGCTGTAGATCCTTCTCCTGGTGAAATACCTGAGTAACGCATTGTTTGCCACTGTCTGCTAACTACTGCGAGCCCTTGAACATTTCAGAGAGTCTAAGTCATGCCTTCAGAAGGGTGTGTTATTCAAAAATCACAAGCTGGCTTATTTTTGAAATGGTATGCATAGTTTCTGTGCCTAAATTAGAGTTCCAAGGAGTAAAGGATGACAAGAGAGTTATGCTCCTATAAGTCTCAGACCTTTGAGGATTCCCTCCTGAAAAACTTTCTAGATATTTAGATATACGTCAGATACTTATTTCATGATAGGTTATATGAATTCGTATACACATAGTTTATATATTTAACGAGGGATTTATGTACTACCATACAGAAAATGAAGGAGAAAGAAATTTTGCCTCTTATCTTTTTGATGTTTGCACACAGAAGGAGAGATTAGCTTTTTTTCTTTGTATCTGGTTGTTTTCTGTATTTCTGCCACTATCTTAGCTGATCCTTGGCTTTCATACCATTAAAGAAAATCATACTTTTAAAACCACAGCTTTCTCAATAATCTGGTAACTACCACAGCTGTTTCTTTAATCTGATAGACTCCCTTACATAACAACTGTCCTTTCTGATCAAAAATGACATCCTTAACATCAATAAATTCTTAAGATTTTCCGTCAGGAAATGTTTTCTGGGACATGCAATCAATTACAGAGTGTGCTTGTGAATATTTTTCTCTGAGAAATAAATCAACAATCCTACCAAGATAACATACTAAGAAATAATCTTCTCCTTGAGCTAGAATGCATTTCTGGGTTTTACTATTTTTTAAATGAAAAATGGCATTTCTCCTCTGAAAATTTTATCATTAAAGGAATCTGTATTGTCTCTTAAAATATTATAGTTTACCCTCCATCTTCTTTCAGAGAAGATTTAAGCCTTTTAATAGAACTATATCTCTCCTTGGTTTGCTATAATATAATACTTTTCTATTATCTCATATAAATAAATCAATGAATAGTCTTCAGTTTACATTCAGTTTACATTCCCCTGCCCCCAGTGGCTGAGTAGGCTAAGGTCAAGAATTGAAAGGTAGTGTACATATATGTTTACATATATTTCAAGATTGAGTAAAACATACTAATTGATATTTTATCACTCTTGTAATAATACCAGTCAACTACTGTTTATGTAGTTGATTCTTCTACTTAGTCTGACTAGAGACAGGTAAAATGAGGAGGAAATAATTTTATTATACATGTAAAGGTTAAATAATTTATGAGTATGCTCAGAACATTATTTGTGGGTAAACTTGGTAATGCTGTTGGAACATCATTGGGTTTTACTATTTGAGGTGACCTCAACTAAATCCTCCAAATGCGTATGACAGGCAGAGCTCTGACACAGTGATTTAGTGCACTGCTTGTAGAAATGGTACAGAATATTTATACTTCATATGCCCTTAGTTTGCAGGAGCAGAGAGGTTTAAAAAGTCTAAATCCCATAAATAAGTCCAGGAAAGAGGCCTGATAGTGATGACAATCATTGCAAAAATGGAAGTCTTCCAGTTCAGGGTGGGTTTTTCCTCTTCCCCTGAAGCACTGACCATACTGCTAATACTTAGAATTTAACAAGAGGTAATGCTGTCCTTGATTCTCTTTGATACTAGTGATAAAAGTCCTACTGCTAGTAGCATTTTCCAAATTTTCATAAGACAATTTTGAAACTCTTATACTGGCTGATGAATCCACTGCGTTTGAAGGTTTGAAAAGCAATACCAGGAAATTTGGTAATAATTTTAGTGTATATAGTGTATAAAAGCATTTTCATGCAGTTTATATAAACATATCTACTAGGAAATATTTTATGCTTATATATGCCAGTGCATATGCTCTTTGTAGTAGCATCTTACATTAGTAGAAAAGCTCAATTGATCAGGTATAGCCAAACTCACAATAGCTCACTTCTGCATAAACAAATGAACCTTTGTAAGATATTAAATAGACAGTCAAGATCAAAAGGAAGAAGTGTGTGTTATTAAGATGAGAAGATAATGATTTTATTTTTCCTGGTAAAGAAGGTTGCTTTTAAAGTGGAAGGTTCATGGGGATACAGTAGTTGGGAGCTGAGGTGTAACAGTTGTCTGCATAATCTGAGCTTGTTGAGAAATTGCTCACCTGCAAGGTTCCGTCCTTTTTATATTTATAGAATCCATCAAGCAGTTATTGATGTAGACTTTTTGCATAGTTTAACAACCCTGCTAGTCTTCTGATTGATATAACTAGCCCCAGGGGGAATTACAATTGGGAAGTGAAAAAAAAATATTATTACTGATATACTATGTATATACATGATGAAGAGTGCTCAGTGCTGCTTGAAGCTTTAAAGCAAAAATTCTACACTGTATGGATTAAGAAGTTTCTCTGATACACTACTGTAGAAAGCTCTGGCAAGAACTGGATATGCATTTAGTTATTGCATCCCATTCAGCAAACTATTAAGCTATTATGTAGAATCATACTGGAATCCAGTACCTCAAAATCCCATCAATTAAAACAAAAATTCAAGACCATACTCTAGGTTCATCACATCTATGTCTTCAAGAAATTTCTACAAATTATTATACAAATAAATTTTACAAATATTGCTAATTTTGTATTATTGATCTAATTCAGAATAGTTAGAAGGTATCAGTGGCAAAAATATGCTGTGATTTGGTATTCTTCAAATGTCACTTATTTTCTCACCAAATGGAGAAACTTTTTATGTGAAAAATTTTAGGGTGAACTTGACTGAATTAAATGGGTTTGCATTTGAAGTTTTTATGAGTGGTGAACTGTTACCAATCCTATTTTGACCCTGTTAAATTTCTGATGAATAATTTGGTATTTTAAATTTACCTTCTGTTTTGAATTCCTTCTTTTTTCAAGAGAGGTAAAGCATCTGAGAAGACCATTACAGTTGGGCAGACAGTCATCGCAAAACATAGAAATACGCGATACTATAGTTGCAGAGTCATAGGAGTGACATCTCAGCTTTTCTATGAAATCATGTTTGATGATGGCTCTTTCAGTCTGGATACTTTTCCTGAAGACATTATAGTAAGTACTTTCTGAGATACCTATTAGTTCTGTTTTGTTTGTTCGGTTGTTGTTTTTTTTTTTTTCATGATTTTCATTGTTCTTTTTTAAATTAGAGATTTGAAACCTCTTTAATGACTTCTTTTGACCTTGAGGAAATGACATTCTAATATTCAGTTCATGTTTAGTACTTTAACTTCTGAGAATGATTATTTTCTAATGGGCTTCCAAACCTTGCTTGTTGTAATTAGTCTTTGCCATTTGACCAAATGAATCAAAAGCAATCTTATAAAATCTTTTAATTAAATAAGAAATATGTATTTAATAAAAGATATGAGGGAGGGAATTCCATATATCCTTCTCTGTCACTAAGAGATAACTTGTAAAAATTCCTTGCAGAATAGAAAATTGCTCTAATGTGAAGAATACCTCTCAAGAATATGTTCCAACAACTTGTTTACACCTTCTGATGTTTAGTTTGTGAGATTACATTATTCATGGTAAAAATCATCAGGGAGAAGATAATAGTTTATCTATGTGTAGTGTCGTTTATTACGTTTTCAAAAAGCAACTGAGATTTTGATTTCCCTTATGCATTTACATAAACTGCAATGTTTCTTATAACTAAGGGCCACATCGTGCATTTGGTACATATAAACAAAATTTGCAGACAGTTGAAAGATTCTGTTTCCCTTTGTGTTTGCAATGAATCCATTGGATGCTAAGCTTTGTGGTGTTTACTGGGTGCCCTTTGACATCTTTCTCATGATATGACTCTAATCCTTGTTTACCTTCATGATCCTCTGAGTCTTTTTTGGGCTAAGCTGGTGTTTTTTTCATGTATCTCGTGGTAATAATCTCTAGAAGTTAGAGCCTCCAGGGAACACTGGTATGCAAAAGTGCTGTTTGTAGCAAGACCACTTTTTGCTTAGCCCTGTGTCCTGTTCTGTAGGTAAAGGAGAAGAGTCTGGCATACTCAGCGGTGACAAAGAATGCATGCTCTGCAGCTCAAGGGGCACAATTCCTCTGTATTTTTCTCCTGTGAAAGTCTCTGGGCTGTTCTGTTTTCTGAAGGCCTGATGTTTTCCTGCATGTTTTCAGCATTAACTGACAGATACGTCCGTGGAAATGATGCTGTTGTTCTTAGAGGCTTCTTAGTTATTGAAAAGTCTGACCCTTTTGAAAATATGGTATTTGAAAGGGTGCATTTCATAACAGTGTATAAGGATTGAGCTGTTTACCTCCCACTGGTCTGAATAGAAGTCAGTCAGTAAATCTCTCTTACATGTCTTTGAAAATTTATCCTTTAATTCACAACACTCCAAAAGGCTCCATTAGTGATCAAAGACATTCTGATTTAAGATGATCAAGATATTAAGTAAATGTGGCTGTATTGTTATTAGAAACTCCTCTTTTGTGAATCCTTACCATCAAGTATCTGGTGAGGCAGAGATGAGAAACTGCTTGCTACCCTAGTGGGGGAGTCTGATCTGAAGCTAAGAATAAATGTAATCAGGCCTGGATATGCCTCAGTGCTTCTCAGATAGTGGATGAACAACGTATAATTGTTTGATGGAAACACCAAACAAATTTCACATTCCTTAGAGAAATCTTGTTGTGTTTTCATTAGATAATATACCTGCAGCAGTTACTGGAAGGGAAAAAAAATGTTTTTTCTTCTTTCCAGACTGAAACTTACTAATCCATGCAATGTGTGTATCAGGTGTTAGTGCCGCTGGGAGGACTTATTCATCAAATCTGGTGTGAAAGCAATGTTGCTGCCTATTGAAGAACTTATTTTCTAATCTGTTTTCACTTTTCAACTAGCTCACAAAGATAGCAGGAGCTTTCTGCTTTTCCAGTATGTGCTGAATCTACTACATAATTTCAGCTCAGCTTACAATAGACCAGAATTCCAATGTCCAGACACAGTGATTTATTTTTAAGGGGGAAAATAGGGAGCAGGCAAAGTTCTGTCTCGAAGCTTCATGAAACTCTGCTTGCATTCAATAGCAACCAAAGCAGGGTATACATTGTTGTCTTCTCATATGTGTTTCTCTTCGTTTGTGTTAACATTTGCTAAATATATCATGTAGGAGGTTTTTAAGTGTAAGTGTTAGCTATAGGCATAGATATTTAGATTTTTTTATTGCAACCTTACTTATTGCTTGGGTGCCCTACCTGATTGCTAGTCAGAATTTCTTAAACTAATCACTCCTCAATACAGGGTTTAAACCCATGAGTTGGCTTTTTGATGTGCTAGCCAGTCAGTTTTCCTTCAACCCAGCAGGTATAAGAGGGTGCAAAGAAGTATATGGATAACATTTTTTTTCTGGAAGCAACAGCAGGACAACTTCCTCTTGTAATTCATGGAAAGACTGCAGTGAGGGGGATAGTGCGTTATATCTTAAAGGAGGTGAGATGACAAGTTTAATGACAGTTTAACGATGCATGCACACAAGTAGAGAGTGCATATGCTGCAGTCCTGAGTAACTGCTACCAGCAGACAGCCTCTGTGTGTGCCATTGGCCACTTCTTGAAGTATTAATGTTCCATAATTTGTCACAGAGCCCCTAGATTAGTTCAAGACGAGTACTGCTCTGTCCAGCAGGACAGAGGTCAGTACACAGATTATGCATCAGGAAATTTTTCAGTTCTTTGCTTTGGCCTGCTCATTTCGGGAGGGTGTCCCACAGTTCTTTTTTTTTTTTTTTTTTTCCTTTTTTCCTCCTGTTGGTACCTGATGAACATCTCTCCACTGGCATATGTTAGCAGTTTGCTAGAAATTAATATTCTGGGAACATAGCAAGGAGTTGTATTTGTTTCCATATATATTGTGGTGGTGAATATGCCTTAACAGCAGGTATAATTAAAATATATATACATATATATGTAAGCTAGAATTGTGGATGAAGTTATTCCCATATTATTAAAATCACAGCACAACAAGAGAGACTTTGCAGTATACCTGGGTGGAGGCAGAAAGATACCATCAAATTATATTGATCACAAGGAAGAAAAATATAATTGCAGGGTGAAGCATGCTTTGAGTCTGTAGAGAGTTCTGATCACAGGAATGCTGAGCACAGGTCTCCTGAAGTGGTAAACATCCTTCCAGGCCACTTGCTCCACTAAGTGCCCTGGTCCTTCAGTGAGCAGTTTACACAGAATTCTTTAATATGATTTTACCTTGTGGTTATCAAGCAAACTAGGTGACAAAAATTAGTGTAATTACTCCTGCTTCCATGACATAACCACATTGTGTTTTAGTTTACTAATAAGTGTATAAATGTAGGGGTTATCCATTGAAAAGATAAAGCTGGTCTGTGGGTAGTCATGTCCACAACCCAAAATGGACTTCACTTATTAAAGTCTATAAATTGAATAACATCATAAGTGGTATTGTAGCTTATGGAATGATCCTGTAAATATTCCTTAAAAGCAAGAGCATCTTAAATGTTGAGGATGTAAGATGTGTTTGGAGGGACAATTGATCCTGTATTCAGGAGTTCATGAGGGTTTTTTGCAGAATCATATTATAGTAATTTTCTGAGGTCCTGATAATATCCAAAAAACATCTTGAAGGAGGTATATATTAGTTTGGATTAAGACATTCAGACTGCAGCTGCCAAAAGCAGGAATAAGAATTATTTTTCACAGAATCATTTAGGTAAGAAAATACCTTTAAAGTCATGGAGTCCTACCATTAACCTAACACTACCAAGACCACCACTAAACTATGTCCGTAAAGGCCACCTCTGCATACCTTTTAAGTACAGCCAGGGTTGTTGACTGAACCACTTCCTTGGGCAGCTTGTTCCAGTGCTTGATAACCCTTTTAATGAAGAAATTGTCCCTAATATCTAATCTGAACCTCCCCTAGTGCAACTTGAGGCCATTTTCTCTCATCTTGCCCCTTGTTACCTGAGAGAAAGAACTGACACCACCTTGCTACTCCTTTCAGATAGTTCTAGAAAGCAATAACATCTCCCCTGAACCTCCTTTTTTCCAGGCTAAAAAACCTCAAATCCCTCAGATGCTTCTTAGCTGCTTGTTGTGCTCCAGGCTCTTCATCAGCTTTGTTGCCCTTCTCTGGACTTTCTCCAGCTCTTCAATATCTTTCCTGTAATGAGGGACTCAAAACTGAACACAGGATTCAAAGTGCATCTTCACTAGTGCCAAGTATAGGGGAGTGATCCCTGCCCTAGTACTGCTGGCCACACTATTTTTGATACAAACCAGGATGCTATTGGCCTTCCCTCAGTTTATGACGCTGCCTGGGGTTGTGACCCAAGGGCAAGACCCAGCACTTGTCATTGTTGAACCCCATCCCTTTGGCCTTGGTCCATCAATCCAGTCTGTCCAGATCCCTCTGCAGAGCCTTCCTACCCTCCAGAAGATGAACATTTCCAACCTGGTGTCTTCTGCACACTGACTGAGGGTGCTCTTGATCCCCTTGTCCAGGTCATTGTTAATAAACAGAACTGAATATCACTGATGTCTGGCTGCCAGCTGGATGTAACTCCATTCACCACCACTCTTTGGGCCCAACCATGCAGCTGTTTTTTTACCCAGTGACCAGTGCACCCGTCCAAGCCATGGGAAGACAATTTCTCCAGGGTGATGTTGTGTGAAACACTGTCAAAGGCTTAACTAAAGTACAGGCAGACAACATCCACAGCCTCTCCCTCATCCACTAAATGTATCACCCTGTCATAGAAGGAGATGAAGTTGCTAAAGCAGGACTTGTCTTTCACAAACCCTGCTGGCTGGCTCTGATCCCCCTGGGTCTTCCTGTATGTGCTATGTGATGCTCCATGGCCTTTCCTGGCACTGAGATTAGGCTGACAAACCTGTAGTTCCTTGGATCCTCCTGACCCATCTTGTAAATGGATGTAACATTTTTCAACCTCTGCTCAGCTGGGATCCCCCCAGTCTGCCAGGACTTCTGGTAAGTGATGAAAACTGTCTCGTCAAGCTCTTCCACCAGCTTCCTCAGTACTCTTTGACTGATCCCATCC